AGGTATTATTCAAATACCTTACAAGTTTCTCTGTTACAATTTTTTTAAAAAGTCTTTGGCTTTTGACTGTGGGAGGTGCTGAAATAACAGATGTGTTAAGACAGTCTCTACCTTCAAGTTGCTCATTCATTCCATTTTGTTTATGGTTTATAATTTTTATAAATGCCATCTAAAATTCCTACAATTCTCCCACTATCACCAGACCATGTTCTTTTAGCCTTCAAAATGGTCCCATAAATATTTCTCCTGGTTCCAATCCCCTCTTCCATATTATAATCTGCTTTTGAGGACTTTATCCTATCTGCCATTCTCACCACAAACTTTTTTTTTTTTTGAGACAGAGCTTCAAGCTGTCCCCTTGGGTAGAGTGCCATGGCATCAAAGTTCACAGCAACCTCCAACTCCTGGGCTCAAGCAAGTCTCCTGCCTCCGCCTCCCAAGTAGCTGGGACCACAGGCACCTGTCACAATGCCCAGCTATTTTTTGGTTGCAGTGTCATTGTTGTTTGGCAGGCCTGGGCTGGATTCGAACCCGCCACCTTAGGTGTATGCGGCTGGCGCCTTAGCCACTTGAGCCACAGGCACCGAGCCACCACCAAGTTTTTGAAGTGCCTTGCCAGAAACCATAATGGAACTTCTCAGGCATGCTGGACAGATCCTGGGTTCTTCCTTAAAAGCTAGACTGGCTTTCACTGCCTCTTTTGTTGTCACAAGACCTAAAACCTGAGTTTTGCTTTTCTCTCAGGACATTCTTCTTTCACTCCGTCCCTTAAAAATCTATTCTCTGGGCCCGGCGCCTGTGGCTCAAGCGGCTAAGGCGCCAGCCACATACACCTAAGGTGGTGGGTTCAAATCCCCAGCCCGGGCCTGCCAAACAACAATGACGGCTGCAACCAAAAAATGGCCAGGCGCTGTGGCGGGCGCCTGTAGTCCCAGCTACTTGGGAGACTGAGGCAGGAGACTCACTTGAGCCCAGGAGTTGGAGGTTGCTGTGAGCATGATGCCATGACACTCTACCCAGGGGGATAGCTTGAGGCTCCGTCTCAAAAAAAGGAAAAAAAAAAATCTATTCTCTGTAAATAGTGAGAAAACAGGCATACCCCAGAACATCCCTTCATTAAAGTCTTCCAGACGAACACACAGACTCTATTCATGTAAGAGGCTGATTATCACTTTGTGTATATAACATACCTTACAAATGTAATACCTATCACCAACCTTTTCAGTGAGTGAATTCTTGTGTAAAGACAGGAGGAAAGACTGTTTTTAGTATCAAGTATCTTTATTCGTCACTAGGTTATCATGTGTATTTTGTTCTTAGCAGTGTTTGTTTACTTCTTTCTAAAGATAAATACCATAACATCCCCCAAATTTAACTATCGCTCATTCAACTGATACTAAGTAAAACTCTAACTCAAAATGCTAAACCAAAAGACTGCATCAAAGGCAACCAAGAATTTTATCATTTATAACATGTATTTTAATTGCTTCAAGGCTGTCTACAACAGTATTAATTTTATATTATATCTAATTAAAGTTAAGCAGCTAAGAGAAAACTTGTGTTCTATCACAATCCTGCAATTACTCGTATACACTTGAGCAAGTTACTTAAATTAACTTATTGGTAAAATGAGTGGCTAGGACTAATACTCACAAGTTTCTTCTACTTTTAACTAAAAGCATCATGATCCTATCACAAGACTGAGTTCTTGAAAGGCACTTACTTTTGTTACCGGTAGAACTGAAACTCCCTCCCTCACCCACCAGATTCATATGTTACTGTCTTAATCCTTAGTACTTCAAAATAAAATACTGTATTTAGAGACAGGATGCTTAGTACTTCAAAATATAATCCTGTTATTTAGAGACAGGATCATTAAAGAGGCAGCTGAGTTAAAAGTGGTACCATTAGGGAGGGCCCAAATCCAAATGATTGGTGTTCATTTTTTTAAATGACTTTTTATTTAAAACATTTCTGATTCTTTTGGCTTTGTTTTCTAGAGTCAAGCCAAGTATCAAGTAAATAGGAAGTTGACCTGCTGTTTCCAGGATTTAAAACTACTGCATCTCACCAGGGCCAGCCTGTTATTCACTGCCAACACGCCCTACTACTAAAAATACAAACATCCTCCCCCAGAGACTATGATGGAAGAGGTAGGCATGGGAGATTGTAAGGGAGGATTTCAGGGAATAGAAGACTCTCCAGACCAAGGATGGGCACATAGATGTCTAAATAAGCACTAAATAAGGGACTCTGCCTTTTCAGGCCATGCGGTCCAAACATCCATCGCAACCATGAAGAAGTTCCTGCTTCCCACAGACTCAAAGTTGCCCGAGTATATAACTGCTCCCAGTTATGGGGTTTAAGCAAGCAGAGATAAAACAAAAAAGTCTGTAAGGCAACTTAGGACCACTAAAGAGACCAAAAATTCTATGACATAACGAAAGTCTCTGAATTCTTTAAATGGTTTAACAATGCTTGCTTTATGTAACAAATTTTTACAAGTCTGCAAGAATACTGCAGCTTACTTCTTACAGATGAATTAATTTTGTAACACTGCTGTTGACATTTTGGGGTTTTGTTTTTGTTTTTTGAGACAGTCTCGAGCTGTCACCCTGGGTAGAGTCCTGTGACATCATAGCTCACAGCTACCTCCAACTCAGACGCAAGCAATTCTCTTGCCTCAGTTTTTCTATTTTTAGTAGAGATGAGGGTCTCACTTTTGCTCAGGCTGGTCTCAAACTTGTGAGCTATCCACCCGCCTCAGCCTCCCAGAGGACATTTTGGTTTTTACTCTCATGTTACCTAGAATGTTTTAAGATGTTGATGAGTACCTATCCACCTCCAGTCCCACATGGACCAGAACATTTAACTGACTATAAGGCTTCTGACTATAAAAACAGTCTCCTCCTATTGGGGGAGGGGAGGTTAGGGATTGACCCCACCAACATTTTGTTTTTATATGTTTATTGCCCTGCACAAACAAATAAACAACAACATAACAGACACACCCCTTTGGAATGCTACTGTTAAATCCCCTTGGTGACAAGCCTCCAACTGGGGACCTAAACGGACCCAAGACAGGTAGTTGCACTATCTTGGCAACTAAGGGGGAAAACAACAAAGTCTGGCCATCAGTGCTGCTTCTGGCAAATCTTGGCCAAAAGAGAACTGTGAACCAAAATAACTGTGAGCCAAAGTAAAATCTGAAGCATCACCTCCCAGCTGACTGAATGGGCCCCCTACTGGCCAAGGGGACCTCAGAAATACCCTAAAGCCAGTCACGAGAAGAGAGGTCAGACATGCTCCCTCCTGGTGTTAATAACAACCAATTATTTGGGCTGAGGCAGGAAGATCTCTTGAGCCAGCCCAGCAGTTTGAGGTTACAGGGAGCACCACTGCACTCCAGCCTGGGTGACAGAATAAGAGCATATCTTGTTCTATAAAAATTTTTTTACAAAGGAAACCTGGACAGAGACACATGCGTGGAGGAAGATCATGTGAAGATACAAGGGAAAGATGGCCATTTACAGGGGAGGCTGCAGAAGAAGCCAACCCTGCTGAGACCTTGACCACAGAGGTTCCTAACATGGGAAAACAAGTTCCTCTTGTTGAAGACACCCAGCCTGTGGGGAATTGGGTTATGGCTACTCCAGCAAACTTATATGCTTTTTGATTACTAAAAATAAATTTACCAACTGACTTGGGTGTACAGGACACTACTACTGTAACTGCTGAAGCCATCTACTCATTGTACAAATGTTCGTAACATTTTATTTTCTCGGTGAGCATATTCTGCTAAATTAAATCTTAAGAGATAAAGTTTGTACAACATAAGGTTTCATTTCAAAATGTATTACTATTACAACTTCCTTAGAAGATCATTTTGTCAGATAAATATCATCTTTGTACGGAAGATGTTTATAATCCTTACATGGAGGTTCAGTTCAGTTACATTACACAGAATTGTAAACAAACTAACTGTTCAACAATGGGGGCAGGTTACGTACTAATAGTAACCCAGGCAGAGGTACTGTAAACTCACTTACCGAATGTATCACTTATCTCTGTAGCAAAATGAATTGCATGAACCATCCCCAAGCCCCTCAAAAGCCACGGCACAGCAGAAAATCAAACTTACAATAGGAAGTTTACAAATAATTAAATATTAAACTACCTTAAAAACGTCTAGCCTAGAAAAATTTACTATCATGAAAACATGATATTGGTAATATAATGTTACATGAAAAAAAAAAAAAAAGAGTAGATCTACACCAGCAGATGCAGAAAAGAAAAAAAACAGTAGAACCTCTGTAAGTCGACCACCCAAGGGACTTTAACAAACTGGTGAACATATGGAGCTGTTCGACATAAGGAACTAGGCCTACTGCACTGATACATACATGTGGTACGTGCCTGGTCTATGAACTGGAGGTTAACTAAAGGAGTGAGCAAGGTAGGGAGGTGGTCAGCTATGTTCTACCGCATAATCTTAGTGTCTATGAGAAAGAAAGAGAGATCAAATTTCTAAGGGTGGTTATAACTGGCTAGTAAATTTAATGATGTTTTACATTTCTATGATTTTTCTATATTCTCTATATTTTCTATGATAAACTAGTCAGGTAGCAAAAGAAAATTTAACAGAATTGATTTTATCTAAATAAAATTCTTATTAGTCAAGTCATGAAATAGGGTAGTTCGCATGATTTTGTTCCCAAGCTGTAAAGTACTTAATAGTGAGAATATAATAAATGACTGATGATCACAGTTAATTAAGTACTTATGGATAACTGAGACGCTTTGCAAACCTCTGAATAGAGAAAGAGCAGGGTCAATATTTTCTACTTTATATAATGCCACAATCTTAAAAGTGATCACAGACAATGACTAAAGTTCTCCTTTATAAAGATGAAAGTATTTTTTTGCTTTTATACTTCAAGACATGTTTATAGGACCTAAAATTAGTTTAAAAGAAACAAAAGTTAGAATAGAAGACTTACATTTTCTATTATGTTTTAACAGAGCTTGTTTCAAATCTATCACTGCTTTTCCTAACAAAGCATCTGCTTTTAAAGTGTGATGACTCCAAACTCGAAATTCCAATTTAGTCTGTGGGGTCACATTTCTGTAAGGGTAAAATCAAAACAAAAATACAGGAGTATATACATCATCACTCTAAATGGCAATTTCTATTAAACCATTTATTTCAGGCCCTTTTTTAAAACCATAAATTCAGTTTGAAAATACTATATAAAAGAGTATTAAAAGGTCTAAATTATAAATAAAAATATTTACTTTCAAACACATTAGGACTTTAAATATTACATAAGAATTTTTGTAATTAGCAAACCAAAAAACAGCAGTACAAGAGTTTTACTAAAGGCTAGGTACAGTGGCTCATGTCTGTAAGCAGTCTAGGAAGTAAAGGTGGGTGTGCTATCTGAACTCAGGAGTTCAAGACCAGCCTGAGCAAGAGCAAGACCCCATCTCTACTAGAAACAGAAAACCTAGCTGGGCGTTGTGGCAGGGACCTGTAGTCCCAGCTACTCAGGAGGCTGAGGCAAGAGGATTGCTTGAGCCCAAGAGTTTGAGGTTGCTGTGAGCTAGGAGCCCATACACTCTATCCAGGGTGACAGAGTAAGAGTCTGTCTCAAAAAAAAAAAAAAAAAAAGGCTGGGCGGGTGGCTCACACCTGTAATCCTAACAACATGGGAGGCCAAGGCGGGTGGAACCTGCCTAAGATTGCAGGTTCGAGACCAGCCTGAGCCAGAATAAGACCTTGTCTCTAAAAATATCCGGGGGTTGTGGTAGGCACCTGTAGTCTTAGCTACTTGGGAGGCTGAGGCAAGAGAATCTCTTGAGCCCAAGAGTTTGAGTTTGCTGTGAGTTATGATGCCATAGCACTCTACCAAGGGCAACAAAGTAAGACTCCGTCTCAAAAAAAAAAAAAAGTCTTACTGAGACTTCACAGCAACATTGTTTCTATTTGAACAAATTTTTAAAGACTTAAGAAAATTGATGGTATTAGTTATAATACTTTTCTGTATATAAATTTTGTATCATTATATTCAAAATGCCAAAATTAAGGATGCCTAATTTTTGGTCCTATTTCAACACCCAGACATTCAAAGAAAATAGGGCTATATGGAAATAACTTAATTTATAAAGCAAAAGCTCTCTAAAAATAAATGAAATTAACCAAAAATTCTTCACTCTTTAAATTGTCTATTCACATTGGAAAAAACATTCGTTATTTTGAAGTCACTTTACAAAATAATTGTAAAATATTCAAATTTCAAGATGCACACTTCTTTTTAAAGATATGCATTCTTTATACAAGATACTTACACAGTTAGCTGTTCATCCCATTTTGGATTAGAAGAACTACCGGATTTTGCTGTTTTCTTAATTTCCCCATCTACAACCACTTCTGTATATATTGCTGTTCCAAACCAGTTCTTTTTTCTTTTTAGTTTGGCACTAGAAACTAAAAGAAATACGACAGTCTCTGGTGAATATGTGTAGCCAAAACCAGTACTGCATGCTAGTAAATTAATAAAATGGAACTTTGTTGCTTACAATTAGAATTCTTCTCTTTGGCAGAATAAAGAAATAATACAAAAGGACTATTATTAATAACGCCTGAGAGCGATGTGAATTTTTTTGTAACAGCAGTATTGAACTATAATTCACATACCACATAATTCACCCATTTAAACTGTACTATTCAATAGTTTTAACATATTCACAGTTAACACAATCATCATCAAAATTATTTTTAAAATATTTTGTTGTCCCTAAAAGAAACCCCGCATCATTAAGCAGTCACCCTGGTTAACCACGTCCCTCCTCATCCACAGCTCTAGGCAACCACTAATCTACATTTTGTCTCTACAGATTTGCCTAGTGTGGATTTTTCATACAAATGGAATCATATGACATGTTGTCTTTTTGTGATGGGCTTCTCTCACTAGCATGTTTTCAAGGTGAATCCTTTCTTGTAGTAGGCATCAGTATTTCATTCTTTTCTTGCCGAATAATATTCCATTATATGAATATACCACATTTTATTTATCCATTCATGATGAACATTTAAACTGTTTCCACTTTCTGGCTATTGCAATGATACATAATGTTGCTGTGAACATTTGTGTACAAATTTTTGTGTTAACAGATGCTTTCATTTCTCTTAGGCATACACTTAGAAGCAGAATTGACGGCTCAGATGGTAACTGCTGAGTAATGGCCAGACTATTTTCCAAAGTGCTACACCATTTTATTCTTACCAACAGAGTAAGAGGGTTCTGATTTCTGCACATCCTCACCCATCATTTGAATTTAATACTAACTGCATGAAGGTCAAGAGAAAAAGTGCCTTCATATTCAACAAGCCTATTAACCCTCCTACCAAGTGGTATTCATAACTTATCTTCTGGAAATTGCTTAACAGTGGCACTTTTTAAAAAAATGCCTTAGTGTTTTGCCCAGAAAGATGGTTTCAAAATAGGTAAAGTAGTATTTGCTTTTACAAATAAAACCTTTAGTATTAAAATATCATTAAAATCATAACCCTTTATATAAAGAAAGTGAATTTTAAATCTAATTTACCTCAGACTTGAAGAAACTAATTTGGGCTAAACATATGAATCTAAATAAGAAACTACATGCTTTCAGGGCAAAATACTGACTACCAAGCCCCAACTTATCAAGATCACCTCTGTAATCAACTACCTGTGAACAGCCTAAGTCTGAGGTAAGGAAAAGGAAAGCCCCTCCCTGTCACATGCACCTGATGCTGAGGATATGGAAACAAACAAAGCTATGTCAGCATCCTTTCCATAATGAAGGGATACTAATCTCAACAAACAGCAGCACACATAAGTCACTGAGCAGCAATGTGAGAAATGCTTCAGCAGAGGTACAATGTCTGAGACACACTGTACAGTCGTCCTCAATTAGGACTTAAGGAATAACAAGAGAGCAAATACTGTATTTTAGCACTGGCAACATAAAGCAATCAAAAAGTTTTCAATGTTAATGACTGAAGTGCTATCAGGGTCACAGCAAAACTCAGTTCCATCCTTCACTGTTCTCAGCTCCTCAATAATCAATGTCCAGACTTGCTCTCTCCCAAGAAATTCCCCAACCAAGACTCTACTCAGAATAAAAATGCCATTGCCTCAACATATGCCGGCTTATCTGTGCACAGGAAGAAGCCTGAAAGAAAAAGAAGGCAGTATAGCATGATGGCAAAAGCACAGGATTGGACACATCTGGGTTCGTATTTTAACTGTGCCACTTAATAGGAGCCTGACCACTATGTAAAAGTGAATTAACCTCCCTGTCCCTCAATTTTCTCATCTGAAAAACAGTTAAACAATAGCACTTGTTTCTTAGGATTAATGAGTTAAGGCAAGCAAACTATCACTCTGTTTTTATTACTGACTGTATACTACTAATTCTTCAGAGTTAATTGTAACGCACTCAAATTACATCCATTGTATACCTTTAATAAACAAAATGCTCAATATTGCTACAAGTTGGCATGGTAAGAAAGATTTTTAATAAAAGATAATAAACTTTCATCTCAAGAGGAATTTATAATATTCTGACAAAAATGTGCACATAAATAACTATAATACTGTAATTATAAATAAGTAGGAAGACAACTTCATTAATATTCCAACAATTGTTCTAAATTTTGGAATAGATTTCATTTTCCTATTTAATAAGCTTCTACTGGTGTTAGACAGAAAATGTCCTCTACTGAAAGGTTACATATATATTTTTAAAGCCACAATAATTTTTTTTTTCATTCTGTAGTTAAACTTGTGCTTTATTAAAATTGCTCTGAATAACTTTGGGGTGAAAATTGCATCCGTCTCCATTCATCTTGAATGGCTTTTACACCTCACTCGACATAACTGTCTCCTTTGATTAAATCTCCATTAGGGCTCTGTTCCATATTCAGCAGCCCTATAAGCCAATTAACCCCCCCTTCCATAGGTTAGGACAAAGAGCACTGCTTTTCCTTCAGAGAGAAGGAAGAGGAAGGGAGGGAGGAAGAGTGATACAGTAAAACCACAATAATTAAAAATTAAAAACATATTAACATCCTCTCCAAAATCTAGTAATAAGAAAACATGCATGACTCACATAAAGATAACTAACCATAAAACTTTACTGATAGACAAAAAAGATTTTAAAAATTAAACATAATTATTTTCCTAGATCTGGAAATTTTAACACTGAAATATTGCAATTATTTCCAATTTGATATATACATACATATATATATATATATATACACATTATATATATATATATATTTTTTTTTTTTTTTGGAGACAGAGCCTCAAGCTGTCCCCCTGGGTAGAGTGCCATGGCATCACAGCTCACAGCAACCTCCAACTCCTGGGTTCAAGTGAGTCTCCTGCCTCAGCCTCCCAAATAGCTGCGACCACAGGCACCCGCCACAATGCCTGGCTTTTTTTTTTTTTTTGGTTGCAGCCGTCATTGTTGTTTGGTGGGCCCGGGCTAGATTCGAACCCACCACCTTAGGTGTATGTAGCTGGCGCCTCAGCCACTTGAGCCACAGGCACTAAGCCGATATATTTATTTTTAAATAAAAACACCAACTGAGGCTCAGTGCTTATAGCACAGTGGCTACATGCACAGAGGCTGGTGGGTTTAAATCTGACTGGGGCCGGCTGAACAACTGACAACTGCAACAAAAAAATAGCCTGGTAGCTACTTGGGAGGCTGAGGCAAGAGAACTGCTTAAGCCCAAGAGCTGGAGGTTGCTGTGAGCTGTGATGTCACAGCATTCTACGGAGGGCAACATAGTAAGACTCTGTCTCAAAAAATAATATAATAAAATAAAATAAAATAAAATAAAATCACCAACTGAGTGGTTCTGAATGCTTCTGGTGGAAAAAGAGGACAGGCAAAGAAAATTAGAGAATAGCAAAGGTACATTTTTAAATGCAAAGTAATGAAAGATTTCTCTCAATGTTTTTTAAAAGTATTTTTATAAAATAGTTTCATCAAACAAAATAATTAAAATATTCTGACAGTCATATAAGAATAGAGGTGAATAGAATAAGATAGACGGTATATAGTGGCGGCATTTCAAATCAACAGAGAAAGACATAAATGTAGAAACATTACAATTCTCTCACTACTAGAAAGGATATGTCTTCTCTTTGTCTCGTCAACAAACAGAACAAGCAAAATACTTTTAGAGGGCATCAACCTTTAAGGCCTATTGCAATAAATATACCATAGCATAAATCTAAAAGAAATTATATTTATGGAACAAGTCCACTGAATTAGGTATTCAAAAGAAAGCTTTATTAGAAAATCACCACATTAATAATAAAAACTTACCAGTTACTTGTAACTGTAACCTTCCACTGTGGTTATTACTAGTCTCAGACCTTGGTGAAGCAGTGGCCATGTCCCAAAATTCAGCTAAAACCTATAAAAAAATTTAATGTATTCATGATTTAGGTAAGAGATTATAATTTTAGCCGGGCGCGGTGGCTCACGCCTGTAATCCCAGCACTGTGGGAGGCTGAGG